AAATATCCGGATATTGATATCCGGATATGTGGATCTGGATATCCGGATATTGGATATCCGGATATTGTTAGTGAAATATCTGGATATTGTATATCCGGATATTGACAGTAAGATATCCGGATATTCTGAGATTTCGTAGAACAGTAGTTGTGCTGTGTGTACAGTAGGCTATTGGGGGTTTGTGGACCCTAGATTGATGAAGTTGAACTTCTGTAATTAATGAACTAAGTCATAATCATGTGATTAAGGGCTTGTGGCTTTGTTGGAAGCCTTAAGACGTAAATCGTAAAAGGAGAACGTAGTCTTTATGTTAATGCTTTTGAGCTTTGTATGTTGATATACTTGCTGGTCCTAAACCAGATTGTGATCTGCTGTGTGTTGGACTTGAGCTGTGAGGACTCTTGGCTTTGGATAGTGAGCTTGCAAGGTAAGCTTTCGTGTCCTCGGTTTAGCCATGTTGTGGTTCCACCATGTCCCATGGGGGTATGATTATATGCATGCTGTGTTACATGCTTTTGATGTTTTGAAAATGCTATTGAGCTGTTATATGCTAGTGCCTTTACGATATGCATATGGTGTTCCACCTATACGGTAAGCCTGAGTATGTGATACATACAATATGGTGAGGCTGTGGGTGAGGTGCAAGCGGTGTTCCTTGTACTACATGTAGGTGATAGACGTATTCCTGCATTTCTCTGGCCAGTAGAATAGTGATAAACACACATGGCATGAATATTTGTTGCACTGCATAGTTTTGGAACTGATATTGATATAAATGCTTTTAGAACTTATATTGCACATGTAAGTTAGTTTGAGGTGGAAGATCCTTGAGGACCCCTTATCTTACTGAGATTTCTTGTTTAGAGATCTCACCCCACGTTTGGGGAATGCTTATTTCAGGTTCGGGTAATGTTGAGACCTCAGGCGGCAGGAGGCCGGAGCTGAGTTAGATATTGATGATATTATATGCTGACTTGTTGGATGCTGGATATGCATGCTGCTTTTATGCTTGAGCTTCATTTTATGTTTATGATTATCTTGTTGAGACGCTGTTGATTTGGTGAGCATGAGAATTGCCCATGACACATAGACTAGTTATGTCTTAGTTTGATTTGGAGTTGTAATAATGTATCAGGATATTGTCCGGACTACGTGATGTAGATCTGTGATTTAGATACTCACTTTATTTATATTGAGGTATTTCAGTATATGTCTTATTGCAATTTACATTCAGGCGATATTTTATGAAATTGATTAAGTAATCAAGTTGGTAATTGATAATGACGTCATAATTGAAAAGAAAAAGAATATTCCGCATTTTTAATTAAGCGTAGCTTAATACGATGTAATGATAATACTACCGGATATATACGGGGTGTTACATTATATGTCATTGAGTGAAGGGAGGATTTTCCACATCATGATAACCAAAATTAGGATTAAATATTTATTAAAAAATAGGATTAAATATACAAACCTTCGACACATTGTTAATTTTATTTAAAGTAATCTGATAACAATTTTAACGACAATTGTGAGAAGAAAATAACAGTATATAAACTACCCAAATAAACACACAAAAGTTGCAACACAAGATTCACGGTGAATTTTTATTTCTTTGAAAAATGAAAAATGGATGCATCTATCAATCTAAAAAATTAAAAAAACTTTCAAGTTTCAACTCAAGCAAATCGATACACAAAGTGCAGACACGAAAAGATAATAGGCAGAATCACAAATTAATAATAAGTATTGAACAAAACAAAATAATTCCATGAAAAATATATAATGCAGCGGAAAAATTGCAAAAAATATACCAACAATTCATATTTATTCCAAGGATCATGCTGTTAAAATTTGGTGAATTTAGACATTAAATTGAGTGCACATTCTCTCCCATCCTTCTCAAGCCGTGAGTGAGATTTGTATAATAAACTCAAATAGGTCTTTTTCTTCCTATAGCGGGTTGTCCCGTTTTTGACTCAACAAGAGAGTTTAACACACTCAACTTGTGAAGAACACAAATGCTTCAACAATTAAGCTCATAAATAATTACATGTTAAATGTAATCACCAATATTTAAACAATATACTGCTGATATGTTTCCATTCAAAATTAATGAATTCTAGCCAACATGTGCAATGCATTATGGAATTAAACATTATGAATGCTTTCAAATGCATTAAATGATTTACAAATCATTAATACAAGTTTCAAATGCTTATAAAAGCCATTGGCCATTAAACATCAACAACATGGATTCAACAATTGCAACAGTTCACGCAAAACCCAATAAAATTCCAAAAGAATAAATTTAGAAACATGTATATCAATCACTAGAGGTTTCTTAAACAACACAAGAAACAACATCGGTGACTGCGGATCATACTCATAGTAAGACTAGAGTTTTCTTTTCTCAGAATGTGGGTTATACTCAAGCAAACCATCTTAGTGGGCTTCTTGGTTTTTCTCTGACTGCGGATCTTGGAGGATACTTGGGAATTCCTCTGCATCATAAGCGAGTGGGTCGGTCATCTTTCTCTTATGTTTTGGATCGAATGAATTCTAGAATTGCTGCTTGGAATCATGCTAGTCTATCTCTAGCAGGTCGTGTTACATTATCTAAAGCAGTGTTATTAGCAATCCCATCATATCCAATGCAGATTTGTTCATTACCGCAAGTCACCTGTGAAGAGATTGATAGGAAGATTCAAAATTTTGTTTGGGGTTCATCTCCACACTCTAGACATTCTCATCTTGTGGCCTAGAAGCAGATCTGCATGGATAAAAAAAATGGAGGCCTTGGACTGCGGAGTATGAGGGAAATGAACTCAGCATTTATCATGAAGGTTGGGTTCAACCTTGTAGCTCATCCAGATGCCTTGTGGTCAAAGTTCTTACGTGCTAAGTACAATGTGGAGGCAGGCATGACGCCAATTATTCATGCTCCAAACAGCAGCTCCCAGCTTTGGAAGGGAATTACGCGTCATTGGGATACTATAATGGATCATAGTCGGGTGCAGTTAGGCAATGGTCAGTCCACTATGTTCTGGCTTGATAGCTGGCTGCCCGATTGTGGGCCTTTGATCTCATATGCAGGTTCTCAGTTTTCTGTTAGTGATACTCTTCAGAAGGTGGTGGACTACGTGGATGAATTGGGGCAATGGAAAAGGAATTCTCTTCGACAATTGCTTCCAGATTCTGTGCTGCATCGATTTATGAATTTTCTTCCTCCTTCTAGTCAAGATGGCCAGGATCATTTAATTTGGAATGGAACGACAGATGGCAAGTTTACTGTTAAGTCAGCATATACAATATTAGCCATCAATGATACTACAATCCAACAGTTTCCTTGGGAAAGTGTTTGGAGATGGCAGGGGCCAGAAAGAATTCGCTTTTTTCTTTGGTTAATGGCAGGGGAGAAGCTGATGACTAATGTTTGTAGACTCCGCCGTCATATGGCTCTTTCAGATCTGTGTCCTAGATGTAATCAGTCTAGTGAAACTATCTTTCATACTATTCACGATTGTCCACAATCAAAGGAAGTATGGTGCATGATAATGCCTCATATAAATCAGCGTGAATTTTTCAACCTCAACCTGCACAATTGGATCATATCTAATTTAGACAGTTCAAAGGATTGGGGGATGGGGTTGGACTGGCCTCTTTTATTTGGAATCTTAGCCTGGAAAATTTGGAAATGTAGGAATTCTTGGGTTTTTGAAGGTGATCGCCAGAATGCTTATTCACTTGCCCGTTCAGCAATTGGTTTCAGAGATAGTGTCGCTCTTGCAGCTAACCCTGTTTTTGGAGTGGGCAATCAACCAAGGAATCGAATAGAGAGATTGGTTGCTTGGTGTTGTCCTCCTGTGGATTGGGTTAAGCTTAATGTTGATGGTGCATGTGATGCTAATGGTACTAGGACTGGGTGTGGAGGAGTTCTTCGCGATGCCTCAGGAACTTGGATCGTCGGATTCTGTAAAAATTTAGGCTCAGGTACAGTTTTGCATGCTGAGTTATGGGCTTGCTTGGTTGGTTTGGAGCTAGCCTGGGATAAAAGTTTTAGGCAAGTTTGGCTCGAAGGAGATTCTCTTTCAGCTCAACAGCTTATTACAAATGGGTGCCGCCATGATTACCCTGCGGCTAATTTGGTGAATCGTATTTGAAATTTGATGCAGCGAGATTGGCAGATTTATATGTCTTACATTCACCGTGAAGGAAATAGAGTAGCGGACTTTCTAGCCTCTTACTCTTATGGTTTCTCTTGGGTAATTCAGGAATTTGATAGTCCACCGTCAGGTTGTATTGATAGTCTGTATGGTGACACTATAGGTGTTTACTGGTCTAGGCTTTGTGCCTAGTTTCTTTTTGTTGTGTTTTTGTTTTAATTTCCTATTATTTTCAAAAAAAGAAAAAAAAGAAACAACATTGGTGATTTAAGAATGCTTTCTACAATCAATGAGCTTGAAACCCAACTAGCATTGACATACATCAAGTGCTCCTTATATACTTAAGTCCTGACAGTTGCACCTCCATTATATAAAAATAAAAACTTTGCAAGTCAAGATTTTTGGAACTTCGCTTTACGAAAAATTGAAGGATCAAAATTTCAAATCCACATCTATCTATATTCCCATTTATTAGCTGTTACAAAGGACAATATTGAACAATGATTTCTCCTTATAATTTCACAACAGATCAAAAATAGAAATTAATATTCACATAAATCACGAAAATCAATTCTTCAAAACTGGATACCAACCGTGCAATTAAATCAAGATGATGAAATAAAAATAAAAAAATAACTGAATTTAACCACTCACTACCAGAGAAATGTCATTTAGGCACATTGGTTTAGCCTCATTCAAAAGATATCATCGCAAATTTTAAAAATTCCCAGATCTGCTACAGAGTTCATTGAATGTGGCAAAATCATTCGGTTCCTTTTGTATATTTTCCCTAATCACATAACTCCCTCATTTTTTTCCTCGATCGAATATCTTAGGATAACACTCCGAGAATTCCTATTCTTATTTTTTCTCTCTCCCTCTTTATATCTTTAACTCTCTTTTTCTCTTCCTTTTTTATTTGTCTTCATCTTCTACCTTCATCGTTGTGTCAATAACCCTATCATTTTCAATTCCCTTTCCTCTGGATCTTGATCTCTCCGTCTGAATCCATGGAGAGACAGTATCATTATTTTGATTGCTTGAAGATGGGAGTTACAGCATTTTATAGGTGGTTGGCGGAGAGCTATCCGATGGTGGTTGTGGATGTGATCGAGGAGAAACCGGTGGTTATCAACAGCGTTCAAATCCCGGTCGATACGAGTAAGAAGAACCCTAACAACATCGAGTACGATAACCTCTACCTCGACATGAACGGTATTATTCACCCTTGCTTCCATCCCGAGGATAGGGTAAGCTTTTCTCATTCTTCCATCTCACGACAAATTGAAATTGAAATTCCTTTTTGAGAGTTGGTTTTTCTGTCTTTTTTATTTTATTTTTTACTTTAATTTTTGATTCCGAACAATGTGAGTGAGTTTGCGTTGTTTGGTTGCTAGTGGGGATTCCCAATTGGGTTTCGATTAAGCTTTTTAGTTCAGATACAGTTGCGCCCTGTGGCTTTTCTACCTTCACTCGCTCCAGTCCATTGCGGCTTCGAATTCTGAGCATCATCATCGACAATCTGGGATTTTGTTTCAGATTGACACGATACGATGCAAGGTCTTATATATGCGTGTGTTCTTTTCTTTGTTTTTTCAATATTCGATAATTGAAAAGGGGAAAGGTAGTTGTTTTGGTTGTGGAACTGGAATAGCTTGCTCAACTACAAGAGCTGCACCGAACGAAAAGAACTTCACCCTCAACACCCAAAGGGAAAGCTAAGAGGATACTTGTGACTTGTGAGAGAGTGTATTAGAAATCGAGAATGCAACCTCCCCACTTTGATGAATATATAGGGCCTTGGGCCTTTATCTGAAGGGATGGCTTATTTTTTGTTTGGATTTAAATTTGGAACATATATTTAGTCATTTACTATGTAGCTAAATATTTGGGATAATGATGATATCTTCTTCCCCGTGGTGTATCTGTTTTTATCTGTCAAAATTTAGATAATTATGATGCAACAAGGGCTCCATAATCCCATAATAAAGCACGCACACATAAAAATGCCATATCCTTCACATGATAAGAAAAATACTAGAAACCACTTATTTTTTTGGCAACCATGATGAGACCTAGAGCTTATTATGTGCAATTGCATTGTGTGGGAAATTTTTAATTCTGATCTAAATATGGATTCACAATATCAAAGGTTAAATAAAGAAAAAAGAGGGGAAAAGTTTTTGTTTAAAAGGAGAGAGCCAAATCCTCATTCTTTCACTCTCTGTCACTATCTGATCTTTATCTATCTCTTGCGCTTTACTTTTTGTTGTTGCTTTGTGCCTCTCACTGCTGGTCTGCATGTTTTCCTTATCAAAACTTTTATTTTCTCCATCATTCCCTTTTATTAAATTATTTTTTCTTTTGATTTTGATGCAATTTTCTATTGAATTTTGATCTTTTTTGTGCAGCTCTGAACGAAGAGGAATGAGTGGAGCTAGTCAACGCTCTCAAGGTTTGCAATTAGTGCCTCTCTTTCAGTTCCTGAATTTGTTTGCTCTCTTTCTTACAAGAGATAGAAATTTTATATCTTTCTTATAAACCCAGATTGTTTTTCTCCTTTTTTGAGGTAAAGTTTGATACTTGCTATGTTTTAGTCCAACTCTGAGGTTTTAAATAATGATGGAATTGGGTTCATCGCTGGAGTATCAATTTTTTTATGTTTTGGGTTTGTATTATATGATTGGCTGAGTTATTATATAAATTTTTTTTATGGTTAAATTGGTGTGTAGAGCAAGATACATAATCGGGGTTAAGGGCAGCACTATGAGATTCTGGAGAATATATCCCCTAATGTCAGGAAGCGCATTGAGGCTCTCCGGGAGATTCAAGTATATCCGTGCTTCCCATGTTTCGTAGTTATAATGCTAGCTTTTGTTGGTTGCTTAGATTTTCTGCTACATGCTGGTTTGTTGTATAATTTATCCCTCTGTATGTACAATCTATGAGATAGTAAACTTGCTTAGATTTTCTCTTTTGTCGCATGTTTATTTCTTCGTTTTTGTGTTTGCATAGAGGGATATCAAAGTGGCTGAATTGCTTGTCGATTTTGCTGGACATGTCAAGCTTGCTGGCTTTGGTTTGCAAATCATGTGAGCTCTTAAACTTCATGTCTAGTCTAATAGAGAGTTTTATTGTTCACACTCCATTAAGAAGTTGGTGATTTCACTAAACTGATTATTTGAATTTTACATATTTCTTGTAGTGTTGAAAGATTTGTGGAGAAGGAATCACTGTTAGAAGTACAAGGTTACAAAATAAAAACCTCAAATTATTGTTCTCGGAATTCCTTTATATTGGTTGAAATATGCAATTATTTGCAACTCATTAAAGAATATTTAATTGTGCATGTGTACAGAAAGTTCTTTCAAAATAATTGATTATTCGTTTCATTTTGTTTTGCTAAAAATGATTCAATTTCTCTAGTGAGAAAAATTTTTTGGCTTGTGGATGAGGTGTTCCTTGCAAACTTAATTTGGATATTTGTGGCCATTATAGTATTCTTGGATTTGATATAAGTGTTGTATGTCCTTATATTCAACTATAGTAACTTGGGATTTCTCTGTTCAACAACTAGCTGGATATGTAATTGAACTCTACACGAAGGTAACCTAATGGGTCGATACAGAGCTATATTTTTTATTCTACATTACTCTGATGTCTCATAGCATTTCTTGTGGATACCGTTTCAAACAGGTTTTCTATGGGAGCTGAAGAGATAACAGCTGTAGTCAAGAATTTGCTATTGATATATGCAGTTTAGGTTACACAGTCTTTAAAATGTGCGTTGGGCCTCTTTAGTGGGCTGGTGAACAAGTAAGCATCTCCAGAAAATTTTGTTGTGTCTTTTTACATTTTGTCCTGCAGATCACTTGTGCCTTGAATTAGATGATGTGTTTGGTATTGGGCCATATTTTTCATTATAATATTATTATTGATAAATTAATTTTCTTTTGGCTGATTTTTGTCACATTGAAGATGAGATAGTAAAGTTCGGTTATGGGAGTATTTGTGTTATAAGCCCTTGGTCTGATTTAAAGGCTATTTATGTGCAATTTGAATTAAACTAAAATCCAATTTTCTTTACGTTTAAATTTTTTAGAAAAGGAGGGCTGAGACAAGCAATGATCCTTGAGTTTGCAAGCGATTAAATACTAGACAATGACAGGCACCAAGAGAAGAGCATATCTTTTTCCTGGGAATATGTGATCCATTCATAAGGTAATAGTAAACTCTGTTTTGCTACATTAGCATTTTTTGTTTGTATACTTTTTTAACGTGAGTTGTACGTAGCAAGGTTTTTCTGTCTTTAGTTCTTACTTCATAATCATATATACGTACTAATATTCTTACTTTGTTTCCCGGTTTCACATAGTCATTAAGTGCATGGCCAAAATTTGTCAATTGTGAAAATATTTTATGATAAAATAAGTTTTTGCAAATAAATAAATAATTTAGATAACTTGTATTTAGTGACCTCGGGGAATTAAGTATTTCCCTTGTTGCTATATATTGTTTTATGCAATATTCAATGCTACTTTGGGTTCATCAATAACATCTGCATTTATTAGTTGTTTTGAAAAGTTAAATACTCTGAGGTCAAATCAAGAATAGTTTATGCATTTGCTAAATTGATTAAAAGTCTCTTTAGATTTTTTTTACATTTAATGCACAAAATGCTTAATCAGCTGCTTCATGAATTCTTTATGTGGATAGAATAGTTTTGTGGTTTATCACGTAATAATTGTTTAACTAGTCTCTTCACTGCAGGTGCACTGCTTGCAATGATTAAGTTGGTCTAAGATTTTACAGCCCAATTTCTATTGGTTGGTTAAGCCCATAAAAAATTAGCCGAAATAAGCCTAAGTGACAGATTCATTTCATTAGGCTTTCAAAAATAAAGGGTTTATTTGTTTGTATTTTTTTTCTTAAAACTTTTTTAAAATAGTTAATAAAACAAGTATTTTCTATGTTTTTTTCGTTTTGAAAAAATATACATATAACCAGTACAACTTGACTATTTTTTGTTTACCATTCTGTAGGTACATTGATTTTGGGGGTGCAAACCCTCAGACCTGCAGAAGACTTAGCATTCTCAGTTGCCAAAAGACCTGAAAAAATAAAAATGTATGTTTATTTGGTTTTTTGCTGGAAAATTTTTTAAATGATTTATGTTTATGTATTTTCCGTTTACTTTTTTTAATTGCTTAAATTAAACTGAAATTAATTTATATAATGTTTCTAGCAGAGGTATTTGGAAACTTCCATATAATTGCTGGGACTCTTCATCTCAGTGCAATCAGTATGCTGAAAATTGATTGGCAGGCTAGCTGTTAAAATTTTGCATATTGGCTTTATATCCCCTCATATTGAAGTTTTTATCAGTCAGGAGTTCAACTTGTTCGTTGCATTATGAAAATGTTCAAGATCAGAATATTATCATTAATGATGGTCCTGAGGTTCCATATGGTTTACTGGTATGGTCTACTAGAGTTGGTCTATCAAAAATTATTTACTCTTTGGATCTCCCTAAATCTCCTAGTGGAAGGTTTTTCTTGTACTTCAATATAGTTGCATTTATTTCTTTCCATTGGCAACCTTTGTAAATTTACAATTTGGCAGCTGATTTCTCGTAGTTTGATATGAGTTATCAGTAAAGCAGGATCACGTTAGTCCAAAGATTATTGTATTATCCTAAAGCAAATTTTGAAAGTTTTACCATTACAGGATTGGCATTGATGAATGGCTACATGTTCCTTTAGTACAACATATGTCTATTTTCTGTATATCTAAGATTGGAGATATTGAATTTGTTAATTTGTTTGATAGCAGAGGACTAGAAATAGCCACGATAGGCTATAAATTTTTTTTTTAAATAATGAATTATTAGCCACGGTTAACACGTGTCTAAATTAGAATATCAAGATTTCTTTTACAATAATTAGCTACGATCGTTCGCGTGGCTAAATAACTATAAACGTGGCTAAATAAATGCTACCACATTCGAATAGAGTGTGGCTATATACAACAACAAACGTTGCTAAAATTTTGCAACGCCATGATTAATCACATTAAGTAAAAGTGTGGTTTTCTTATTTAGCCACATTTTTTATGCCAATTAGCCACGTTTTTAAATGTGGCTAAAAACCGTTTTTTTGTTGTGACTAAACCATTATATAATTGCAACATAAATGGCAATTAAAACAATTCAGTAAATTTGGGTACAATAAGATGGTAAATAAAAAAATTCAGATACCCATATCATCAAATTCAATAAAAAGGAAAACTTAAACTTCAATTACCTTTGCCTACATAGAAAAGCGTGTCAGAAAGGAGCACCATTATCAAAATCATAATATAAAATGGGAAGAGACATGATTGTTCGGAACAAAGAGCTGCAATTCTTCAAAAACGAAGAGGCACGACCTATTGGAAATGAAAAGACGTGACTCTTCCCATTTCTTACTTACATATACTTATTTTGATATACATTTTAGTCAAGTAAATAATTTGAATTGACCGAAGGATAATAAATCAAGTAATAAAATAAATTTGGTGCTTTATTTTTGACCGAAAGCATTTAATACTACATTAAACATAAAGAAAACAATTATGATAAATAATGAATTTGTGAACGTTTTGTCTTTGTACCTCAATCATATTGGGCAATATATATCAAGAAACTCTCTATGTTTTAAATCATCTGTTTTAAAATTATTGTATTCAAGACACAGAGAAAATCATCTGCTTTCAGTTATTATATCAACCCGCTCTACAAAGATGGTTTCAGTCACCAAAATTATGTTAACACTCTTTATGTTTATCACCATACAGAGTACATCGTTTGCTTCGAGAGAGGGTGTTCGAATAACCAACAAATTATCTGGGATGCAACTCGGTCTTCATTGCAAAGACAAGCACCGTGATCTTGGGTTTATAACACTAATGGTTGGAGAAGCATACAGTTTCGATCTTGTGCCTGATCCCGTTTTTATTAATACATTGTACTTTTGCAGCTTTAATTGGATAACAGGTTCTCACTATTTTGACATTTATGTTGAAACTCGAGATTCGTGTACACCTGTATGTTTTTGGGAAATTTTTGAAACGGGACCATGTAATGTTGACGGAACGTCTCGTAAATGTTTTCCGTGGAACAAAGCACTTCCAGGACAGAGGCAGTTTAGTGAAGGGAATAACACTCTCGGAGTGTAACTTGTTCATTTTCTCATTGTACAACTTGAGATTCAAGAATAATCCAATAAAATAATATGCTTGTTTATTATTCATTTTCTTATTTTTTTTGGTAAAAAATTATTCACTTTTAGATAAGCTCGATAACACATTGTCTCGAATAGTTAAAGTTATCTCTTTCAACCGTTTTGGGTTAAATAATAAAAATTAAAAGATATTTTAATAAAACTCATAAAAATAGAAATGTAAAATTTTTAAAGCGAAGGTTATATTTATAAATTTTTTTATTTATAAACTAGACTATGTCTTACGGTAAGACACTCCATTTTACCAACAACAAAAAAAAAGACACTTTTGAATGAAGTCTTTTCGGTAAGATATAGTGTAATTTGTTAAAAAAAAAATTGTCAATATAATCCTGCTTAATTTTTAAAATGTAATTTACTTTTTATCCTAAACCCCAGTTGCATAAGATAATTTTATTTCCTATCGCACAAGAGATATTTTTTTCAATATTTTATTATTAAATAAATTTATATTGCAAAAATATTTTTGATGGAATATGAGATCAAATTATCTTATACAAGCGCAAAAAAATATCTTTTTGGGATTTGAAAATAAAAATAAAGAGTATTTTCATAAAAAAAATATTTAGCTTGTATAATAAATTTTATTGAAATACCATTTATTTTTATTGCCAAAATTCCAAAACTATATCATTTTGTGCTTATATGAGATAATTTTATATTATGCTAGAGGAGAAATGTTAATCCTTTTTATATTTAACAGAAATGCAAGAGAGGGCAAAAAGAAGGAAAAAGAGATATAGAAAGGCATATTTTGACAAACACTTTATTCAACTAATTAAATTTAATTGACAAAAAGAAGATAAGATTAGATAATAAAATAAATTTGTTCTTATCTTTCTAACCTCAAAACATTTAATGTTGAATTAAATAAAAAATACTTAATAAATTAATTTTTAAATAGAAAATACTCTACTTTTGCTACAAAATTGTTTTTATCATACTCACATAAAACTGAGTAGATCTCACAAATATTTTCTCTCTTCTCTTTATAATAGAATTCATTCACTTTTATACGAGTGTAGCAGAAATTATTTTTTGCAAAACAAAACAGAAACATTAAACTCATTTATATATGGGGAATATACACTCATGTTACATAACAGAATTTTTCTCTCATACACTCACAACCTAAGAGGAGAGAGGAAAGAGAATAAATGAGAGAAAAAATAAAAAGTAAGCCCCACCCTTGATTTGTGAGTACAAAAGAGAAAAATTCTCACATGTCACATTAGAAAAATATTTCCCTTTATATATTAAGGTTAACAATTGTCTTATCATAACTATCATATGTAATCAAGGGAAGAGAAGAATTTGCAACGTAATCATGTATAGCTATAGAATCAAATTACCATCCTTTTTATTTTTTCCTTCTTTGTTTGTGCAATTAAAAGATGACACTTTATAAAAAATATATATATACCTTATAAATTGCAACACCTTTTTTTTTTGGGTAAGCAATTGCAACACCTTTATTTGTAGTTGTTATTTTAATATTTTTATTGAGTTATCATTTTCAATAAAATGGGGAAATATTATAAAATTTGAAAATATAAAAATAAAAAAAATTATTTGATAAATATATTTTGATCTGAATAATAATGTTATTTTACTTCTCTTTTATTAAGATCAACTATAGAATAAAATTACAAAAATAAAGGAACAAGAAAAAATTACAATTATAATAGGTGATAAACCTTTAGTTTATCTTATTTTATAGACTAAAATTACATGAATTATCAAGTTAAATAAGTGAAATCTAGGGCTTGAATTAAATAAAATATATTTGCTATTTTGAAGGGATTTGAATATAAAAGGAAGGAAATATGAAGATTGGATAGAAGAAGATCAAAACTAGAAGATTTGAAGATTTTATCTAAAGAAAATCAAGATAATCAAGTTGTTGAAGAGGAGGCTTAAGCCTCCAATCTGAGGCTTAAGCTCCCTGAAATTCCAGAAATTCCAATCAAAGAGCAAAAAGTCACTGCCTGATGAAGCTTAAGCCCCCAAATTCAGGCTTAAGCTCGCTGCTAGGTAAAAGTTCATCTTCGAAGAGGGCGCTTAATTAAGCCCCCAAATTCAGGCTTAAGCTCCCTCATACAAATCTGCAGTACTGTCTCAGGTGGCTTAAGCCCCCAAATTCAGGCTTAAGCGCCCATCAGCGAGCTTAAGCGACCTGAATGTCCCAACTTAAGCCTAATTCAAGTATCCACCTAGGGAACGAATTCTTTACCCTTAAAATGCAATTAGGGTCAGAATTAATTACTTTTTACACATTCTTAGTGAGTTCTTGGTACTCGGAGGCAGAGGGAACACAGAGAAACACCTGGTTCATGTTCATGAGCGACAGAGCCGGATCGAGATCAAGCTTGCACTGGAGTTATTGAACAATTCTCATTCTACTATGGAATTTGGGGGAGCTTTCTTAATTCTTTTCTTTCTTGATTTTGTTATATCTGGCTAAGTCTGTTTAGTAGTTAGGGTTAGATGGAACTCCATTGATTTATTATGCTTTGAATATTTCTTGATGTTAATTTTCCTTTTTATCATGAATGGAATTATCTTTTCTTAATGCTTTATATGAGCTTGAATCTTGTATATTGATCTTGAGTGAATGCATGACAATAGAGATATTGGTGCATGATCTTTATCTGACAATTTCATCGTAATCCGTATGATTCTAGGGATAGACATAGGGTATTGCGCAGTCTTATGATTCCTGAACGTAATGCTTGCTTTCTTGAGGAATAACCGGGGAACTAGGGTTCTTGCAAGGGTAACAAGGAATTGAGCCTTAATTACATAAGAAAGAATCGACTGAATTGATATTAAGGACGATTAACAATAAAAAGGAACTCAAACATAATAGAGAGGTTGAGGAAAATCGAAACCCTAGCTACGTTTTAATTTACATTAGTTAATTCAAATCTTTAAATTCTATTTTTAATTTCTTGCGATTAATTAGTTGTAATATTTTAGATTTCAATTCAAATCCGGTTACAAATCCAATTTTGATTGTCCAACTTAAGCTGAGATAGTGAATTAGTGCTTGAAATATAATCCTCGTGGGAACGATCTCTTGCTCAAACACTTTATTACTTGTACGATCGGTGTATTTGCCGTGAGTCACAACAATAAGTAAAATGAAGTAAGAATTTAACACATTTATTTCAAATAAATAAAAGTAATAAGAATGAAAACCGTTGATAGTCCTTGTTTTAGTTGTTTACTTTTTTTTTATAAGCATCCTTGGTTAGTTTTAAATTGTAAGTTGCCTATCAATACCTAAAGGCTAAAAATATAACAAACTTAATAAACTTTCCCTTAATTATATAATCAACGTAAAAAATGTGTGCATCTTTTGCCTATTTATGTGAATTCCAATTCTATATATCTAAATTGATAAATATATAATTATAATAAACTTAATATACATTAACGTAGTGAATGTTTGCAACTTTTGTGATTGCATTTCTATATATAACCTCTTGATTAAAAAACAAGCAACAGATCAATCCGAGGACCAGAAGCTTACCTGAAACGCCAA